TGAAGTTTTGGTTCATCCTTGACTGCGATGTCTTAGCCGCTTGGGCTGCCCTGTTTTCCCCGGGGACGGTGGCCAGTGGAGTGGACTCCTCAAACCTGCCATGAAATGCTGCATTGAACTTCCTAAAAGCAAGGAGGCTGCAAGGCAGGTGACTTAGTCAGAGATTAAATGCTGCTCAGTCTCCTTCTCGCTTCATTCTGCCATTCCAGAAGGGATTTTTCCAATAATTCAAGAAAGAAAAGACCAATGACAGTCAGCTCTGCCTTGTAAAGAGAAGACCTGCCAATAGCTTTAAAAGGCCGGCCTCATCAGCCTGCATGCTCCTCCCTACCCGCCCTCATCTCCCAAGGAAGAACATGTGGGTCTCCTTTTCAAGCTCCCCAAGAGAAAAATGAACGACTCTCAGACAAATACACAAATGGCAAGAATAATGAAATCTGGCAGTGTGTGAAACAGAGCCATGGCCTATGACTGTCCTTCCATCTCCAGGGGTCTGTCAGTCCTGGCCTGGGCAGAGGTCTTAAGCAGAGAGAAACAGCGAACCCTCCCGGCACTGGGTGGCGAGGTGCAGTGAACCATGTTTAGGAACGGCGGGGTGACATCCCCAGCTAGAGCCTCAAGGGCCATCCTCTGGGGTGAGGCAGCTGTCTAATAAAAGACCGTTTTCGTAATCAGTGTTCAGTGAAAACCTACCATTTTCATTTATAGAAACAGTGAAGCCACCTGCTATTTAAAGGCCTCCTCCTCCTCTTCTTCCTCATCCCAGGGCTGAATCTTCCAGCTCCCTCCCTCAGCCAGCTGCATCTTGTCAAAGTTCCAACCTCCTCCTTCAGAGACGTCAGTCTCTCTGACCGTCCACCCCATGTGCCTTGCTTTTTATACTCAGTCTGGAGTATGGGATTATGGCCTCACCCTCAAAAATAGCTTCAACGAGAGCGGTCAGCTGAGGAGGGACTAGGTGTACCCTATCGAGGGAAGAGTAGCTAGACGTGACTCTCCTTCAGAACCCAGACTCCCGGCTTCGCTCCCCACCCGCGTTCCCACATAGCTCAGGCTGAGTCAAGTGCTGACAACTGAGAGGGCGGAGAGGAGGGAGGACGAGAAGAAAATGCTGCTGCTGAGACAGGAGCGCAAAATCCAGAGTAAAAGGAAGGGGCTCGGAGCAAACAGAAGGAAGAAAGCAAAACAAAGAGCCAGATGCAGCAACACCTCAATGAGCCAGCCGGCCGTGGGGGGAATGGGCGTTTCATACTGGAAGTTTCTGGTTAACAGTGAATGGAACCAAAATCCTTTGTCTTAACCCATAATTCAGAAAAGCTTTTGACATAGTGTTAGTTCACTTCTTTAAGGCCATTACAGACAGGGATCATGGGGTCTTAGGGCCCCTAAAGGATGGCAGTTAGGACATGAACACCCAGTATACGGTGGACAGCCTGTGGAGGAAAGGGTCCCAGCCTGAGTAAAATATATACTGAACCCCTCTGTTTGCCCTGAATAGTAAATCTCTGATAAAACTTGCTTTCTCACTTGGTTTATCTTAATCACAAATTGCCGAGAAGTTTTGTTAAATCGTAACGGCATAGCACACTTCCATTTATTCTTCAGATCTCAACTTGAGTATCACCCCCTCTGTGAAGCCTTCCCGATGACTCCTGCTCTCCCTTCAGGCCCCCTGCCCATCATTCCCCTCTCTGCTCAGCACACTGTGTTTAAATACTTTGTAAACACGGGAGGCAGTGGGCTAGTGATGAAGGGAGGGTTTCCTCTGTGACCTTCCTTGTAAAGAAGCTGCACTCCCAGTCTTTCCCTTAGGGTAGAAATAAACTCCAACTATCTGTGAAGTCTCAGAAATGTAAAAAAAAAAAAAAAAAGGTCCTGCTTTACTGTTCTACCTCCAGCTCACGGCCAGGAACAAGAGAGGGGAAGAGAACGGAAAAACAGAGGAGAAATTCTATAAACAGAAAAGAGGGGAGAGAGAGAGAGAAACCATTTACAGTCTTGGTGATTTCATCTTAATTCTGAGACCTCTTCCCTGTCTGTTTCCCTCTGATCTGTAAAACAGAATGCCTCCTACAAGGTTTCTGAGTTCTGAAACAACTCAAGAGGAGGCTGGTTCTCCTTCCACTAATGAAGCCATTCTCTAAGTGTGCCATGAGGGGTTAGAGTGGGGTGGGAGGGTAGGGAAGACAGTCAGCAGTTAGCAAGAGCCAAACAAACACAGTGGCAGGTCCATGGCCACTGAATCTGAGGCTAGACTGGAGGCCAACCAAGACTAAGATAGTCAACGTCACTCAACATTTGTTGTGTCTCTTTTCTGTGCACCATGTTAAAAGTCTCCAACACAGTCCTTGTTGGTTCACGACCCGTAGTTCAGAATGGAAAATGAGGAGTAGGGCAAAAAGAAGGCAGGGCTCTGGCCTAGGATGCAGCCACCTGGACATTGGTCCCTAGATGACTTACCCTGGAGGGCCATGGAAGGAGCAGGCAGGGCTGGTGTCTGGGGGATTAGCTCCATCTGCCCTGAGCTCAGCAGAAACCTGGCACCCCTTTCTGCCCTGGTATCCTTTTCATATGTGCTTATCCCCCAGCCAGCGCTGGCAGCCTCATGTCTGCCTGGTCATGGTGTCAAGTCTAATTTAAGCCATGGGCCCACCGATCCTTTCAATCCACCTCTGACAAGGCCTGCATACTGCATAAAAACCAACCAACCAACCAACCAATGGTCCTCTGGCCCTGTGGGTTTTACAGACAAGAGGATGTGGTGACGTCCTATGAAAGAGGTTGGAACAGTGTCCTCTGGTGTCCCCAAGGTAGATGACAGCATGTATGCCAACCTGACAGATGAATGGCTCATAATGTTGATGAGAGCTATACCACATGATGAAACAGGAAGCACCCTGGACATGTCCTCAGCATGTCCCCTGCTTTCCTGCACCCTTGGGGGGTTTTGACTTCCGTATCCTTAGTATCTGGCCCAGAACCTGACCAAATATAGGTGCTCAACAGATGCTCCCTGAATGAATATAACTCCATTTTCAGAATTCAGTGATATCTGGACCAAGTCTGACCCATCATCTCTTTGCTCCTTTATGGGGATGAGCTCACTGAATGTCCCCCTAGTCCCCAGTAGCTCACCTGTCACTCAGCAGCCAGCATCTTATCAGCAAGGCAGGCTGCTCCTCAGGTGGACAGGCAGAGTGCACAGGGTTCTGCCCTCTTTCTTGCCCTCTTTCCTCCTTACCTCCCGCTTTCCCTTCCGGCAGGGTGTCTCGGTTTGCCCAAATCTGAGGCCTTTCTCCAGCAAAACCCAGCTAAGTTCCAACAGACCTGGGCAAGTCAGTCATTTCATTCTCATTTTCCCTTCCAGAAACATGTAATTAATCATGTCTTGGGTGTGGCCCTGAATTAGACTCTGAGGACTATCAAGTCCCTTACCAATCTCAGATTCTCATGGGATGTAGACACAATGGGCAAGAAATGACAGAGTACCAAGGAGAGGCAGAGTAGCTGGAGGGTGAAAGAGAGAGAATATGGTGAAATTAGGGAAAGCTTCCTTTGGGACATGCCATCAAAGAGCAGCAGAAAATCTGATTGGTCAAATGTACCCAGTCCTGGTTGGGGAGCCTGAGACGAGTATTTCCTAACAAGTTGGGAGTGTCTGTGCCCCATGTGCTATAGTGTTCTTGCGGAATTGGAGGAAATGAACAGAGGCTGACAGTGTCAGGCATGGTGCAGCACTGTTATCCTGGGAAAGCACAGGCCCAGCTATGTTAGGATATGTTGACTGGTTTTACTCAGGGCAGTGGAGCTAATTACAGTAGAGCCAAATTCCCCTTGCTTCAGAGTGAGAATGTTATTGTGTTTCTACCCCCTTATCAACAGCATCATCCTTCTCTTTTGAACCCTACCTCCCTCTTCTCCTTATCCAAAACATAAATATAAGTCAGGATCTTGGCCACGTTATAGGACAGGTGATCATTTCCTTTCCTTTCTTATAGAACCTCAAGCCTTGATTTCTGCCACATCTAGAACACAGAGCTTGATGAGAGTGGAGTCAGAGGTCATTTTGGCCTGGGATTTCAGAGTCTGAATTCCACGGTCTCACTGGGCAGCTCTGGAGCAAGCTCTGGGCTTCCAGTGCCTCCTTAACATTGATCTTTCAGAGACTGGGGAAAGGACCTGAGATATTTGGTGGGAGTCTAATCACAGCCTGCTTTTGGTTGGTCTTCTTGTGCTCCTCTTGAAATTGGATACCTTCTGGTCTCTCTGGCTTTTTTTTGGCTTTAGTGACTCACTGCCCTGGGAATCTTTGCTGGCCACAGTGATTGCTGAGACCAGTGCACAACAGATGCCTCTGAACCAGAGCCTTGTACTCTTCCTTCAGGTTTGCATTGGACTGGGCTCCCCACCACATGGACAGATGCCCACAGCACACATAGTAGCGTTCTTGGTATTTCAGCTCTGTGTTAGTGTCACTGTCCGGTGGAAAGTGGCTGGAGTGCTCGGTGGTGAATTCACTCATTTTCATATGGAAGTCTGTATTTACTGATGGGTCAAGGCCTCTTGGATTTCTCTGATTTGGCTTGGTTCAGTACTTCTCTCCAGCCCTGAGTTCAAGAGGTAATTAGAACCCATGTAAGGTTTTTATTCCATTCACTTAAAAGTAATTAAAAAAAATTTCACCTTGTCTCTCATCTACTCCCCACCTACACCATAACAACATATTCTCTCCTGACTTATGTACTGGAAAAACTTTGCTATGAACCTAGGGCAGGAAGTCTCCATCTGGCTGCCTTGGAGGTAGAGAGTTTCCCAAGAATCTTCTTCAGGAGGGCAGGTGGCCATGTCTTGGTCCCACCAGCTCTGACAGCTGCGTTATTTAGGCCTGCTAAGTTGCCTTTGTCCCTAGAGGAGGTGAGGGCGGGCTCTCCTGTTTATTTGTAGGCCAGAAATCCTGCAAGCCACTCAGGAACCTGTTCTTCTCCTTTATATACCTAGATGCTGACTTCTGCAGTGGCCCAGCCTCTGAGGACCAAAGCCACCAAACCAGTGGGAGGAGGATGCTTCGAACCCGAGTAAGTGTTTCTCTCTCTAAGCAACTGTGAAAAGGGGCCAAGGAGAAACCAAGAGATAATGAACTCCTACAGTGACTATGTTCCTTCTTCAGTAGAGGATGTTGCTCTCCCTACAGGCCACCCCCCCCACCCCTTCAACGTCTTTCTTCTCTTTGGCTGAGTTTCTTCACAGGTTATTGTTGAACTTCTTCCTACTGCACGTTTCTCCTGGAGTCTACTCTAATGTCAGTAGTCTATTCTCATGGATTCAACGATTCACCAATATTCAGATCTGAATTCATGATACCATCTTACTACTGTAAGGGAGAGAAAATCCTATGCCAAAAGGGACAATGCACATAATTTCTTTTTGAAATATATTCAGCTCTAGCCGGAAGTGGAGGGAAAGGGAAGGAGAAGAGTATGGCCACCAAGACTAAAGCATAAAAATATAGAAAGGAGGACCACGCCCCCCATCCTGGTAAGGTGTCACATCAAGACAAAAATACCTTCTAAAGAAAATAGTTGGAAGTAGCTTTCTGATGACAAGTACAATGATGACATTGATGATGAAGATGAGGAGGAAGAAGATGCTAACTGTGATAATGTGATTTGAGTGTTGGAACAAGGGTCATGAATGAACTCGTTTGTTACTGAACGCTTCGCACTGGGGATGTCTGGTGGTTTCATAGCAATTGTTGTCTTGGATTGACTGGCAGCAGCTGTTTCAACTGAATGGCATCAGATTCTGGGGTCCGATCTGGGGTCATCTGCAGATAAGGGATGACCAATCAGTGATGTCAGATGTAAACAAAAGAGGGAGTAGGGAGCCAGAATTTCAGATACTCAGCATCCATGCTGCGTAACTATGGTTTGTTAGCATTTCTTCTCATTGCACGGGAGCTGAGACGCCTTGGCTGTTCCTTTTTGTACTGGGTTATTTATAAGCGTGCCATAATGTGTTGGGCCCCCTCTAAGGCTCTCCCACTGTGTGCCAGGCATCCTAGGCGTTCATTGACTGCCTTATCTCTAATGCTTCAAGAGGGCTGGAAAAGTGGCCTTTCTACTATAAGAAAGGTTACTATAAACCTTGTGTCACAGCACCCACCCCTCTCCCTACTTCCTGTGGGGGCAGATCAGCTTTTCAGTGACAGGCCTGATGTCATGATGATTTCAAGTGATTTGGCCCAAAGACAACACCTACTCCCTGAACAATATCCATGAAAACTTAACACAGTAACTTGAGCGAGTCACATTTTCCCTGTGGATGTGATTTGCAGATGTCGGGATGGAACTTAACCAGGCTGCCTTTTGAAATGGAACTTCCAGAAAGCAGCAGACAGACTGTGGAAGAGCCTTCCCAGAAAAAGAAAAGCCTCCTATAGACCAGCAAGAACTCTGATCACACAAATGCAAGCAAGGTTTCCAAAGAAAATGAGATGAGAGTTTAGAGGATGGGCATGGAAAGTTTCCTTACAGAAAGATTCAAACTCACTGTATACCCGTGAAAAGGAACATTTTTTTTTAATCAAAATATGTTCACAAATACTGGCTTATTTGATTCTCATAATAACCATGAATGTGGGTTGTGGAGACAGGCCATGAAAACATTCTCCATTTCGTGGTTGGGAGAAGGGAGAGAGAATGTCAGTGGTTTGCCTCTCAGGACACAGGAGTAGCAAATGACTGAAGCAGGACATGGGTCTTCTGGTCGGTCCTAGACAGTGTTCTCTCTGCCTCATTCTGCCTTTACAAATTGGCAGTAGGCCGCCTAAGTAGCAATCTCTTTTCTTTCACACAGAAATCTTTAAAAAAAAAAAAAATCTTAAAAAAAATCTTAAAAAAAAATAAGGACGAGGATCAAAAATAGTCTCAAATGAACAAGAAAAAAATATTGGCATTATATTTTATAATACACTCAAAGATTTTCTTAAGGATAGAGACACGGAAGGGCAAAGGGAAGTAGAGATGCAAAGAAGTGGGAAAAGACACACTCACGGTGCCGCACAACCTCCATGGAGTAACAGCTCTGTGTATCGCTTTTTCGAACACAAAAGGGTGGTTATGTTTTCACAATGATACGCAGAAATACGGGCAATACTTCTTCTGGGAACTGGTGACGTTGACGATGAAATCTGGGCCAGGAATGAGAGTTCTCTTAGCTGTGGCTGAAAATGAGGGCGATAATTTCCCCTGATGTCATGTTTCACTTCCAGAACGAAGTGATGGCCCAGCTTCAGCTCTGTCTTTAGAATAATGAGCAGTGATGACTGACGAGCACAGAATGAGTAAGAGAAAGCAGGGCCAGGGAAAACCAGAGTGGGGGCTTCTTCATGGCCTATTAGAAACACCTGGGCAGCTGTAATCCTGTGCCGCCTGCACTCACGCCCACCCCCAAACCCATGGGACTGCTGGGGCTGGGCCCCCCGTGGCCGACCAGGACTTAGAACCGCCAGCTGTGTCCAATGAGCGGCCCAGGTAGAGAACCCTGGTTCAAGAGCTCTGCCCCCAATGGCTGACTTAGGAAAGGAAAAGACACCAGGATAACTGAAATGAGAATGGGGGAGGGTCATGCAAAAACTTTTCCCGGAAGAGAGATGGAGAACAAAAGATAGAGATGACCCAGGAGGTCAGAACACAGGATGCCAGTGGTGGCAGCCGCTGAAGACACGCTCTCTCTCATTGAACTGCCAAGGGCAAACACATCAGGGAAAACCCAGGGACTTCACTGGAAAGTTTAGTGTAAGAACATCTTCCCCCTTTTGCCTTAATTAACCTTTATTCCAATGCAACACTTGGAGGGCTGGGAGAAGGGTGCTAAATCCTCCGATTCATTTGGTTCTGGGCCTCACACAGAAGCAGCGTGGGAGGAATTCTCACCGGAGGGAACACTCGCTCCTATGTACAACTCCTAAGGCTGCCCTCCTCCAAAGATGCGGAACGTTCCGACCGTGGACAAAGCAGCCCCACAGAACAGCCGTGTCACCTCCCCAGTGGAGGTGACAGGTTGGGGCAGAAGGAGGTTGGCTGTGGTGGGGCTCTGAGACAACACGTGAGGAGAATGAGGGGGGGAAAAGGCCCCCTTTCAGCTTCCTTCTGAGATGGAGTCGGATGAGGACTTCTTTTGTAAACGAGCTGAATGCAGTGATGAGACTTCATTTTTCCATCAGTACTGGCGTCGGTATCATTTGCTCTGGAAACCCCATCCCAGAAATCCTTAGTGTCCTTACTGTCCCCATTCTCGGTTAGAGTGGAAGCGCCCCGAGAGGCTACTTCTAATGCAGGTTGGGAGCCTTGGAAGTGTACAGTTGAGCACCTACCCAGCAGGTAGTAGAAACAGAGTAAAGGTTGATGGAGAGACCAATGAGAGTATGGCTGGTATTGAGGGGAAATACCATGGGCTAAATGAAACTCGTGCCCCAGAAACTCAGGTGCCCTGTTCTGTGGCTAAGGGGCACAGGGGATGCCCTTTGGGGGACACAGCTTCAAAGAATTTCTACTCTCCTTTCAACCTCATTCAGAATGGGGGTAGGGAAGAGGAGAATGGACTAGAGATGTCTTGGATGTGACATTTTGGATCGTGACACTTGGAGACTGTGACAGGAATGTTGAGGATAGAAAGCAGTGAAATGGTCTGTTGTCACCCCTCAGGGCAGAGCCTCAAGGTGTTGAGGGACCACAGGACCAGGTATCACCACTCCCCAGGAAACACAGCTTGTGATTAAGGGGATTTTAGGATCCCAAAGTCCTTTCTGGAAGGTCTGAGCTGCTCTGAAATAGGAAATCCAAGTGGGCTTGAAAACTCGTTTTTTCTTTTGGTGAGAAAGCTCTTGTTTCCTCCAAAGCAGTAGGTCCTGAGTAAGCTCTTGGAACCCTTTTGAGGCCTTGGAAAACTTGCCATCTTCTGAACAACAGCATCTTGTATATACCCTTAGGAAATAATTACGTCGAAGTTTATGGTCAGTCTTGCTGTTTTGCCTGCAGCACATAAAAAGTTTCCAGTGTGCATCTCCCGTGCTCTGATGTAGTGGATTAATCACATTTGGAGGTAGAGCCTGGAGTCTGGCCTGGTCTGAACTTTCAGTGAGAAAAGGCAGCTATATTGGTCCGGGCAATTACAAAGATAGGTCAGGGTATTAGAGGCTTTGGCCACGAGTACTGGTGATTAGGTTTGAGCCTGTTGGACAAATGGATTAGTGTTGGCTGAATGGGGTCCCTTGGACAAAGGGAAAAAAAAAAAAAGACTAATCAAGACTAAGCGACATCTCCCAGCCAGTCAGCCATCGTCAGTGCATAAGAATGTTCTGGGACACTAAGGCCTGGCTGGCGTCTGTTAGATGGGACTCTGCACCTGCACCAATCGGGAATACAGTCAAAAGATGGAAGCCGAGGAGGAAAAAATCTAGGTCAACTTGTGTTGCTTCCCAAAGATTCCAGTTTTGTGACTTGAAATATCCTTCCCATTGGTCCATTGGACCCCAAGTTTATGAATGTTGATGTTTTCAAGCAAGGAAAGTGGCTGCCAGGGAATACATATGGTTAGTCCAAGACTTGGACTGTATTTGCATTGACCTTGGCTTCTGACTTCTCTCATCTCCTAGGCCTGGCTGATTAGACCTTGCCTTTTGTCAAATCTCAGTGAAGAAATCTTCTAGATGGGGGCCAAGGCGGCAGTCTGTTGACTCTCTTGCCATGGTCTCCTCCTCCTTGTGTCTTCTGGAAAACAAGAGTTGGTCTGAGGTTTCCTGGGTGTTTCTTTGATGGAAACACTTGGAACCCTTGAGAATCAGTCAGTATACATCCCTTTTGGCTGGGGAAATCAGGGAGGGCAAATCGACCACTGTGGGCAAGAATGGGTAGCATTTAGGCCAGAGTTTCTCAAGGCCGATTGCACCTTAGACTTTCAAGGGGCTGGGGGGTGAGGGGGATGGTGGGGTTAAAAATTATCAATGCCTAGGCTCAACCCAGATATTTCTCATTCAGTTGTGTGGGAGGACACTCAGGCGTCAGTAGTGTTCCTAATGTTCCTCAGGTGATAGTAATGTGTGGCGAGCATTGAGAACCCGATTTCAGTGTTTTTAACATTTTTTAAATTTTTTATTAACATACAATGTATTATTAGCCCCAGAGGGAAAGGTCTGTGAATCTCCAGGTTTACACACTTCACAGCACTCACCATAGAACATACCTTCCCCAATGCCGATTTCAGGTTCTTAGCTGAAAGGAAATTTGTAGGTGGGTGTATGTATCCTGTCTTTCTGATTAGATGATGAGCTCCTAGAGAGTGAGGACAGCATTCCATGTTTTGGCATCTTCTCCCTCAGAATTTAATGGTGTGCAGTATACACTAAGTTCTTAATAGGCAATTTCAAAGATTTTATTTATTTATTTGACACAGAGAGAGAGAGATCATAAGTAGGCTCCCTGCTGAGCAGAGAGCCCAATGTGGGGCTCGATCCCAGGGCCCTGAGATCATGACCTGAGCCTAAGGCAGCGGCTTAACCCACTGAGCAATCAAGGTGCCCCGCAATAGGTGTTTCAATATGAATTCCTGGATGCATAGACAGACATCATTCCATGAAAATCCTCATCCTCCTGGGGCACTGGCTACTATTGTCAACATGCTGCAATGCAGAGGCCCTTTTCAGGAAGTCTGGGCCAGCTGGACCTGCCATTATTACATTCAGCACCATACTAACTGCTTAAGAAATGTCTAGACAGAAAAACCTTCCAGACAATGAAAAGTAGAAGGTGGCTAGGGTGTTCTTTCTTTTTCTCTCAGGGGGCTAGGGGTCAAATATCCAACAAGGCATCTCTGTTTCCCTTATCTCAAAGAGAGTGTTTCTGTAACTTGCTGGAAACTATTATTTCAGCATCAAATTTTCCTTAGAAAAGTTAGACAACCATGTCTCTTGTCTAAGTACATCTGGAAAGAGTCTTTACACTTATTCCCTGATATATTATTATGATTCAAGTGCCTGTAGGTCTCAGCACTTCATTCTGTTAAAGAAGGAAACTGAGAAAATCATGAGAAAAATGGAGAGGCAAGCAAGAAGAAGTCAAGAGAGGGAGGGCCTGGAGTTGAGAATGAGCACTCCCCTCATAACAGTCCCTTTTGCTACCTAACACTACTGTCTATGGGTTCTTCTAAAAAAATTGACCTAAAAGCATAGAAGAGCATTTTAGATGTTCAAATGTAGCAAACACAACAAGAAAGGATTATGGATCGATTAAGGAACCAGATGGAACTTCACAATGAAATGTTTTATATACTGTGAAGAGTAGATTTCTTGTCTTCCTTTCCCTTCCCTTTGCTCCTTTCTCTCCTTTCCACCCTCCCTTCCTTCTCATAAACACTAATTGAGCTTCTTCACATTCACCTCAAAGAGATCATGATTTAATAGGGAAGATAGGAAATGCAACAACAGCTCTGATGAAGGGTGGAACGTGAGACAGGCCCAAGAGAAAGGAGCTTGGGAAAGGAAGCGCCATGTTCCCCACAAACGTGTTCTCATTCAAAAGTGAATCCCAAAATGAACTTTGGTTCTCAGAGTCTGAAAGGACATCTAAGGCTATCTCATTCAGGGTCCCTCATGGGATCCTTAACCTACCGGTGTTTGTAGAACTGTACTTAAATATTTGCTGTTTCCATCGCCAAACACCGCTGGCATCCCAGCCATTATCAATCATAACTCTTTTGATTTTAACAGAAAATTGACAACCTGGTGGCAGCAAAAAAGGAGAGTCAGTAGCTCATGTAATGTCCACGGGATAAGTCTGACGTCAGGCAAGCCTGGATATAGGACTCCAGGTGGAGTCTTCTGCTCTTTCCTCAGCTCGGCTTCTGTCAGATGTGCTTTCATTCTTATGCAGGCAAGATGGTCACTAAGCACCCCAAAGCTCATATCAGCTTAGCAACACAGGAAGAAGAAAGCATCTTTCTACTACCAGGCTTGGGAATCTCCCATTAGCTCAGCATGAGTAAGGGCTAATTCCTGAACTAAGAAGGAATAATTAAGGATAACTCCAGGGTTTCAGACTAGGGAAAACTGGAAAATGTTAATACCTTGATGAAAATTAAGGTAGTCAGAGCACTGGATTTGGAGAAAGAGAAATAGGAAAGGAAGAATTTGGTTTTGGATAAGTCAAAGTATTGGTGGGATTCTAATGAAGAATGACAGGTGGTTAGAAAAGTTGCAGTGAGGCTGGATGGGAGAAGACATTTGCAAATGTTATATCCAATAAGGGGTTAATATCCCAAATATGTAAAGAACTTACACAACTCAATACCAAAAACCCCACAAATAATATAATTAAAATGGGCAAAAGACACGAATAGACGTTTTTTCTAAAGAAGACATGGCCAACAGACACATAAAAAGATGCCAACGTCACTCATCACAAGGGAAATAAAAATCAAATCCACAATGAGATATCACCTCGCACCTGTCAGAATGACAGGAGATAACCCCTGTTGGTAAGGATGTGGGGAAAAAAGAAACCCTCGTGCACTGTTGGTGGGAGTGCAAACTGGTGCAACCACTGTGGAAAACAGTATGGAGGTTCCTCAAGAAGTTGAAAATAGAGGGGTGCCTGGGTGGCTCAGTTGGTTAAGCATCTGGCTTTGGCCCAGGTTAGGATCTAGCTATATATCTCTATCTCTACCTCTATCTAATCTATCTATCTATATCTATATACACAATGAAATATTACTCTGTCATAAAAAAGAATGAAATCTTGCCACTTGCAACAAGATGGATATAACTAGAGGGCATAATGCTAAATGAAATAAGCCAAACAGAGAAAGACATATACCGTATGATTTCCCTCATATGTGGAACTTTAGAAACAAAACAAACAAACAACAAAAAAAGAGACCAAAAAAGCCCAGACTGGCTGGGCTTAAATACATAGAACAAATTGGTGATTACAGAGGGGAGGTTGGTAGGAGAATGGGTGAAATAGGTGCTGGGGATTAAGAGTGCATTTAACATCATGAGCCCCAAATAATGTGTAAAATTGTTGAGTCATTACACCGTACACCTGAAACTCATGTAACACTATGTTGATTATATTTGAAATAAAAGATTAAAAATTAAAAAATTAAAAAAGACAAAGAAAAGTAAGGAGGAGAGTTTTGTGGAGAAGTTGAAATTGGAGGTGAGAATTTGGGTCATTCTATAGAAATGAGAATAAGAGCTACAGAATTGTTTGTATTCAATAAGGAAAAGTATGTAAAAGTGAGGAGGTTGAGGCTCTGGACAGGTGGCTTGTGAACTATAAAGCATCCTGCAAGTGGAAATTTTTATTAGTAGCATCAGTATTACATGTATGAGAAAGGAGGAAAAGAAGAAGCCAGAAAAGGAGAAAGACATTCTAGAAGGGGGCCTGAGATGCTAGAGGTCATAATAACCATAATTAATCAGGATTATAGTTTTTTAACAAGTCATAAAAAACTTGGTTCAAAATGGTTTAATAAAAAAAAGGATTTTGACTCACATAACAGGTAAGTGCAGGATAGTCTAGCCTTAGATGCATTCAAGGGCTCAAAGGTTTTAGGACTTATTCTTACTCTTTTTACCTTCTTCTGCTTCCCTATGTTGGCTCAGGAAGATTATACTTGCAGTGACCCCCCCCAAAAAAAAAAATTGCCAGGAGTTCTAGTCTATCTTTTCCAGAGCGGTTCCCCAGACAATCCCAGTAAAGGACTCTGAACTTATCTCCCTGACTCTGGTTATCATTGCTGCCATTATATGCCCCTTTCTAAGCTAATGTCTGGAGCCAAATTTTGTTAGGCTATGATGTTTAGATTTAAATCAACTCCCACTTCTGGAGATGTGAATGGAGGCATCCAAACCACAAGGGCTGAGAATTAGGGAGGGATGGTTCCCTAGAGAAAAACTGAGGGGCTGTTCCCAGAAAAAGGTGGAATGGATTCAAAGAAGCACGACTATCCACTACAGGAACCAGGAGAAGCATGTCAAGAAGGGTGATGGTCAATAGTGTCAAATGACCCGGAGCTTGAAGAATATGGAAAGTGAATGGACAAATGCACTTTAGACATGTGAGTGACTCATTTATTTCTTTAAAAGATCAGAAACATGGGAGGAAGACAGATTTTAGTGGGTGAAGGAGTGAGTGGGAGTAGAAACAGTGTAAAGGCAGGGATTTGATATTTTAAAGAAGTCTCTGAAGGAAGCAGGGAGGCTAGCTCTAACCCAATTCCCACGATTCCTGAGCGAGGCACGATGCTAGGCACTAGGAGGGCTGAGATGAGTAATTACTAGTCTGTGTCCTCAAGAAGCTCAAAGCTTGGAAGGGCAGAGAGAATTGTCAGTAAATAAAATATGCAAAGAAGGAATATGTAATGTTGTTAAGGTTGCAGGGTGGAGAAGTGCACCCTTTCCAGCCTGACAGATCAGAGTTATCCCACAAGGGAGAATGATGTAATCTAGCCGAGAGAAAGAGGGAAGGCTTTTCGTGAAAGGTGGTTCCTGAACTGGGTTTTGTGGGATGAGTGGGAGTTTGCTTTAGGAAGCAAAATGGGGAACAGGGTGCCAGGCAAAGGCAAATGTTCCCTAAGAGCTCATGGAGGTGCATATTGTGGAAGAGAGAAGTATAGAGTCCGGGGGGGGGGGGGGGGGGGGGGGGGGGGGGTGGAAGAGAGAGGGAGAGGGGTGGGGGGGGGGGGGGGGGGGCAGGCGCAGAAGGACTGGCATGACCTATGGAGGGGTGTGGACTTTATCCAGTAATGTTGGGCAGGGGCCAGTGAAATGTTCTCAGGGCAACACCCATCAGATTAACCTGTTAGGAGAATCTTTCTGGAGTCAGTCTGGAGAGGGAGCCGCATGGAGATGGACAGGCCACTTCAGAGGATGGGTTTTTGGTGGCGAGAAAGAGTGACAAAGTCCAACACAAAGACAGGGACACCAAAGGGACCTCATCAAGAGCAGGGAGAACTCACAAAACTGCGTGCTTATTGGATCCGGAGGAGTGGGAAAGAGCAAAGCCTTAGAAACAGGTGAGGGAGCTGGGGAAGGAGGATGTGAACCCTGGAGAGGGAGACGCCATCTGAATGACTGGAGGAGAGCAGTCCCCAGAGAGGCAGGGAAGGTGGGTGGTCTCCAGCCACGGTGGAGGCGCGACAGGCTGAGCAGTGAGTCGGGGAGCACAGTGGAGAAGATGGATAGGAACCCAGAGCGTCACCGAGGAGGGCAGCAGAACAGCTGGAGGTCCTTAATTTCTGCAGTTCAGAAAGCAGTGAGATCACCTGTTGGGAGCGAGTGGGCTTCCGAGTTCCCCGTGGGAAACATGGGGATAGTAACAGAACCAATCAATCACTGAGTCATGCCAACTCCACCCCCACCAGGGCCCACCTCTCCACTTCCTGCCGCTTGCCTCCTCTAGGTCTTCGTCAACCACCAGCGGCGCGCGGGGTGGGAGTGCTTGTCACACCTAAGCACCCCAGGAGCCTCTTCAAACTCTCACCACCCCAGCAGCTGATTCGGGAGCTCGGGAGCTGAGACCCGGGCACGCGCGTTTTCAGAACACTTCATACAGGAGGTTCTGAAATGCATCATACCCCACACAGTTGAGAATCACTGAGGTACGTAGGACTGAGTCCTGGAATTTGCTATGGTGTGGGAGAAGATGGCATGGAATCGTTTGCAAAAACTGGGTGGGTGTCAAGTGACTCAGGAAAGGAGGACAAGGAGAGCAGGTGGCTGCGCCAGCAGATTCGGGAAAGCGCGGGGGCTTCCATTACGTTCAGCGGCTGTGCCTCTCCCAACCCCACAAGAGTGCCAGTGACCACACAAGAGAATCAGAAAACCTATAAGAGCTCAGAACAACAGAAGATAACCACATTTTTCTGAAAGATCATGGTCAGTCTTCTAAAGACAAGGAATGCGAATGGGGAGGAAAAAACACTCTTGATAATGGAAAGGCAGTGGGGAATCCTCAAAAGTTTCAGCAGTTTGTGTGCAGCGCTGCCCTCTGCTGGTTGTATTCGGACCTGCAGGCGTATGGCAACAGCAGCCTTGACTTCCGGAGTGCACCCCGGAGAGGACAGGTGAGTGGGAACGTCATTAAGACCACACATATGACTCTTCAGGTAAAAGCTGAGCCTGGAAATTTAGACTCAGATCTCCCAGTTAGATAACTATGCTTAAAAAGAAACCCCACACAAACTTTCCAGGAAAAACTGTGGCCCTGAAAAAGTTCCTTTGGAAAAATATTTTGATGTGGACTTAATGGCCACAGTCACCTAGAAAGAAGCTACCGGGGTAGAAACTTCTCCAGGAATGAATTAACGTTGAAAAAGCGTTAGTAATTCTGTGCTTTTAATAATAATGTCCAACATTGATTGAACATCATTGGCAGCTGTAGGCAGTACAGCAATTAACTTCCACAACAACCCAATGAGGCAAGAGCCATTACCATCTATACTGGGGAGGTAACTGAGGTACAAAGAGTACAGGTGCCACAGCCAAGGACACAAAACCTGGGCTGAGCAAGGAATTAAACCTAGAACCACGATATGGTCAACTTCTTTATCACATATACAACAAAGTGCATCGTTGCTCAAACATCAGTGACATTAATTTTGAACTTGTGTAGTAATGGTCACAATCAGGTGCTTGTTGTGAATAGGTGTGTTTCTTCCTCCATGTGCTGATTCAGGGAGTCAGACCTCATCTGGCTTGCGACTCCCTATTAACTGGGTCTGGTCATTTGAAAATGACATCGAGGCAGGCGGGAGAAGAGAAAAGAACGATGAGAAAGCGCCACTTCTTAAAAGCCATGGCTCACATTCCAATGGCAAGAGCTAGACCACTGGCCATACAGCGCCCAGGGGTGCCAAGAAATGTGGTCTCTGGCTAATCAGCCACTTTCCAACACCAGCTCTCCACCATGGGAAGGGGAGATTTGGATGGTTAGCTGGCTGCCTCTGACCTCCCTCTAGTACGATGGTATGGTTCACTGGCTCAGGTCACCGTCACCTTTTCAAGGAGGCTGAAGGAAACTGATCACTACCCCAGGTGAATACCTCGGTGAGATCCTGAGACTGGGGTCTTCAGCAATAAGTCATTGGTGAGGGACCTTTCCCCTTCCCTGTGAGATAGGTTAACTACCTTTATTTCCCAGATAAGAAAACCAAGGCTAAGGAGTCAGTGAGAATTGCCCAAATTCTCACAGCTGGGGCTCAGCATTTTCTCATCGCCAGATTGGGGAAGCTTGACCAAAATATTTTCTGGTGAGGTGAAAGGAGTAGGCAGAGCAGGAACAGGTGATGGTGCCTGTGGCCTGAGCCGACATTGCTCATTAAACAGGTGACTCTGTCCAATGTCTGTCAAGAATTCTAAAACTGGGGACACCTGGGTGGCTCAGTGGGTTAAGCCTCTGCCTTCGGCTCAGGTCAGGATCTCAGGGTGCTGGGATTGAGCCCCACATCAGGCTCTCTGCTCAACAGGGAGTCTGCTCCACCACCCACCCCCGGCCCCGCCTGCCTCTCTGCCTACTTGTGATCTCTCTTTCTCTGTCAAATAAATAAATAAAAATCTTAAAAAAAAAAAAAAAAGGAAAAAAAAGAATTCTAAAATTGGAGGAGGACGGCAGTGAGATAGAAGGAAAGCAAAAAAGGAGGGAGTGGTAAAGAGGCTGCTGGAGAGAGAACAAGTTTCTCAGAATTTGTCCTTGATTTCTATCTTCAACCGTGGATATATTTCACAATTTACCAATTTACACTGCAGATTCTGTTTATCTTTGGCAGTTCTCTTGTGTTCTTAATCGTTACAAAATTTCCCCTCAGTTTATGAGGGGTCTTCCCTTCCCCCGTCTACCCTACAGCTCCTTTTAGTCTTACCAGAGTCTCGGCTAACAACCTGGTAATAAGGAGGGGCTATCACTAAGTTAATTCTCACTGAACTTTCTTTCTGTGCTAGTTTAAACTTTCACATTTTTGTTGTGAAAACAAACATTAAAGTAATATATAAACATCTAGAGACTCAGCAACTGAATAAAAAAAATCTTAGCATTTTTCAAATCTCTGTTAGGGATTTCTAGATTTTGTTTGGAAACTAGCGCTTGCTTTCAGTTATTTTACGTTTGCTAAGGCTTGTTTGTGACACGGAAGGTGGTCTGTCTTGTGAATGTTTATTGTGCATGTGAAGAGAAGATGAATTCTGCCATTCTGTATAAATACTGTTCAGGTCAAGTTTGTCAGTAGTGTTGTCCACATCTTCTGCGTCCTTGCTGATTTTTCTGTCCATGTGTTCTACTAGAGAGCGAAGAATGTTGAAATCTCCAACCATAATTGCAGATTTATCTTATTTCTCCTTTCAGTTTTTGCTTCATGTATTTTGAACCTCTGTTTTTGGGTATCTACACATTTAAGATTGTGCTATCTTCTTGGTGAATTGAGCCCTTCATAATTATGAAGTGTCCCTCTTTATTTCTGAAATATTCCTTACTCTAAAGTCTACTTTGTTTGCTAATAATATAGCCACTTCAGTGTGTATTTGACGAATTTATATTTGAGTTATTGTGTTCCGTTTCAATTTATCTGTTGGCTTTTTTTTGCCAGACACCACACACACACACACACACACACACACACACACAATATTACCTGTACTCTAATAATTAAAATATATGCCAAAACTTTCACAGCCTACTTAAAGGTAATATTTTACCACTTAAAGTAAAATGTAGAACGCTTAGGACCATATTGGTCTTTCCTTGACCGACTTTATGTCATAATTGTCAAATGTAGTACCTCTATATACATAGAAATGTGAGCCATGCGTTCCTGGGATTTTTGCTTTCAGTAGCCAGACCTGTGAGTAACAGAATGGGAGAGAAATAGGTGGGTTGTTTTTTTTTTTTTTTTTAAGATTTATTTATTTAAGAGAGAGTGCTTGCATGTGTGCTCACGCAGTGGGTAAGAAGTAGCACAGGAGAGGGAGAGAAAGTATCCCCACTGAGTGCAGAGCCCAACTTGGAGCTCCATCCCAGGACCCTGAGCTCATGACCCGAGCCAAAATCAAGAGCCAGCCCTTAAAAGACTGAGCCACCCAGGCGCCCTGGAAGAGCAGTTTTTATTAATCCCAACATTTACCCTATATGCTACTCTTCTTCATTCCCTTAGTTCCCAGTTTTTCCTTTGATTTCCTCTCCTTTCAGTTTTAAGAACTTCCTCTAGCATTTGTGTTAGAGCATGTCTGCTACTGATGAACTTCTGGTTTTCCTTTATGACTGCAGACCCAATGGGGCCATTATGAGTGCCTACCTTTGGGTGGAAAGCATCAGAGTAAAAAGGGAGGATCCTGGAAACTCATACCCTTGTATGTTGCTTTTTCAAATTTTGACACTCCTTCTCAATCTGCCAGCTTTTTTTTTTTTTTTTTAACTTTTCAGAGTCCCCAGGTAGTTGGTTTTTGTAATCTGTCCAGTATTTATTTTAGTTATAATTGGTGCAATACTTTGGAGGGGCTTATTAATCTGTCTTGGCTCAAGTCTGTGTTTGGTTGAATTTTCTCATCTTTTCCTAGCTTCTTAATATGAAAGCTTAGATCATTGATTTGAGAATTTTCTTATTCTTTTTTTTTTTTTTTCCAAAGATTTTATTTATCTGTCAGAGAGAGTGCCCACAAGCAGGGGTAAGGGCAGGCAGAGCGAGAAGCAGACTCCCTGCTGAGCAAGGAGCCTGATGAGGGACTCTATCCCAGGGACCTGGGGTCATGACCTGCGCCAAAGACAGACTCTTAACCCGCTGAACCACCCACGCGTCCTGAGACTTTTTTCTAATGTAAGCATTTAAAGGTATATATTTCCCTCTAAACACTGCTTTGGTTGTATCCTACACATTTTAGTATGTTTGATCTTGGTGATCTTTTAGTTCAAAGTATTTTCTCTTTTTCCTTGGGATTTCTCCTTGACCCATGGGCTGATTAGAAGTAGATTGTTTAATTTCTAAATATTTAGGGGCTCTTCATGTATCTTTTATGCTACTTATTTCTGATTTAATTCTGAAGTGGTCACAGAACATAATTAAGTATAATTTCAATTAAATGCATTGAGATTTGTTTTGTTGGCCCAGTGCCATTGTCCATGAATGGAATATTTATGTGCATTTGAGAAGAAGGTACTATTCTTTGTTGGGGTGTGATGTTTTATAAATGTCAGGCCATTTATGGTGTTGGTTCAGATACCCTATATTTCTCCTGACTTTCTATTTTGTCCATTACTGGAAAAAATGTTGACATTCTGTAATTCTTTCATTTTTGTTCATTTTTGTTCATTTTTGCTTTATATAGTTTTTGAAGGTCTGTTTTTGGATGTGTATATACATGTAGGATTATGTCTTCTTGAGGAATTGACAACTTTATTATTACAAAACATCTCTTTTATCTTTGACAATAATCATTGCCTTGATACCGATTTCATGTGCTATAAATACAGCCAGTCCAGTTTTCATGATTATTTTTCTACTGTATATTTTCCTGTATCAACCTTTAACTTCAAATTTTTGTTTTTAAAGTGGATTTTCTTGTCAATAATATTACTTGTTGGGTTTGTCTAGTTTGGTAAACTTTGCCTTTTATTTTGAGTATTTGACAATTTCATTTAATTTAAATATATTATTTTACTCTTGGTTTTCTATT